TTTAAAAAACCTTTCTTACATTTAAAAATCAGATTATCACTAAATTTGAACTTTTCTCTCTGTGATTAAGGAGAGATGCCATTTACTGAGTGTCTCCATTATTCCCAGTTATTGCCATTAAACTTTTCACAAATGAGGAACCCAAAGCTCACTAAAGTGTAGCAACCTGCTGAAGGTCACCAGCACTGTAAATAGTTAATATATGAACCCAATTTATATCTCTTGAAAGCTCATAAAGCTATTTTCTCTACATCATATTGCATACTTTGACTTTCTGAGTATTTTAAATTATTCTATTTTCTTACTCAACAATGCCTCAGATTATAAGAAACTCCATAAATTTAATGACACATTTTTTATGGAAAAAGATATTATCACTTAAAGATATAAACTGCTGATAGATACACATCTGAATTTCAGAAATGTCAAAAAAATAAATGTCACACTGTAAGTAATATGACACAACCCACTCCCCCTATGTCCCCTAACCCTAGTCTATAAATTCTAATTAATCTTGGTAAGGGTTCCATTAGAACATCGAGATTAGAATGTTTAAATATATTTAACTTCAAAACTCAATTCCATTAGCTATCAGAGTTTATTCTTTGAATTTTCTAGCTCAGATTTGAAGAAGTCTGTCTTAATTGTAGGCAAAAAGGTACTGCTTAAACCACAATATGTAGGTTAAAAAGATCATTTTTAACAGATAAGTAATTCTGCAAGACGGTGAGATAAACTGAATGTTTAGTAAACTAACTGTATCTACATCTAGAATACATGAAATCACAAATAATCATGTGTGTCTCACACAGCTCTGAGAGTGGACTAGCTCAGTGCGAACAGGACCATCTTTCTGCAGTGAGCTATGTCTCTGACACACGCTATGGACAAATACTGGAGTAACAAGTTCATGCAATTCATACCACATTCCTTCTGAATTCACACATCACTATATTAGAAACCCCAATTTTAATGTTTCAAATACTAGGTTAGTAAGGTAAAAATATTCTTATTAACTTTTTCTAAGTGGTAGTAAAATTATCTTTCAGCTTAACTACAATAGTCTTAGCAGTGGACTTATTTTCCCTCCACAATGATAAAAAATAAAACCATCAGAAAGTTTAAAAACTAGAGGAAAATACAAAGTTGGTGAGTTTTGAAAGACAACCCTATGTGGGGCACCGTACTGCACTTTGGTTAATTACCTCCATTATGATTTCGTTTCTCCCTGCATATGGCATTCCACAGCATGCTACGTAAACGCAGAGGCCTGCGTGCCGTCTGAGTTAGAAAATGCCTTGGTTTTTCTAGTTTGTAGTAAGTGTAACTTAAAGAGCAATTTTGTTTCCCAATTTTGCATATTATTAATATGGAACATCTGTCTAGTTTTAGAGGTTCCAATCATTTTCTTTCTCTGTGAATATGATGCTGAAATATATAAAATATGTATCGTAAACATTGACAAATTTTACCTAGAGGAAAGAAATCAAATGTTTGAAAAGATTCTTAAGGAATACCTGACCGTAACTTATTGAAGTAAATCAATATGCTTAATGCATATCACACAGTCCCCATGAAAACTTCCTTAGGTTACAGAACTAAACAGATCAGCATAGATTCTAATTCTATTATAAAGAATAACCATAAACAGTCATGGTTTTGCTGAAAAGTGTTACTTGATAAAAGTATTACCTAGGGGTAGGTTTCAGAAACATGTCTAGGACAATCAGGTAAGCAGCCTCTCTGGGCAGAAAATCGTGACAATAAATAATAAGTTCAGTACATAAAAGTTCAGTTTAAACAAATAACATACTCTAAAAAAGCACAGTGGAATTGTTTATGGCTATTACTTTTTATTGAATTCACAAATCATCGTTGCCTGTCTGAAAGTATGGCACTTCATTATAAAGTGATGTAAAAACACCCATTTTTATAGGTGTAGAAAACATACACAACTTTGCCTGCCAGGGAAAATGCTAGAGTAACTGGCTACATGTTGAACTTGGACTGGGATGAAGTAGAAGATCAACTGGAAGTTTGTGGGCTTTATCATACACACTATCTAAGAGGAAATCTAAAGGTTAAATATTTAACGATAGCCATTAATCATCAAGGATAAGCATCCCATAGTTTTAATTCTCAGACAGGTTCGTTCTATGGGATTCTAATGTAGGGTACTATACACAAGTTTTCTCCAGATTTTTACATACCCGTATCTGTAAAAAGGCAAATCAACACTCATTAAAGCTAACTAAAGTTCACTGTGGTAAGCTCTACTGCTGGTCACACAAATGCTAGAAGAGTACTCAATTAAGACAGTTAAGTGGTATAAATTTTACCTGAAAATGACTTCTCCGTCAACTGTGCTAAATTCAAAGATTTAAAATTTAAACTAATGTCAGATAAAATCCAAGAAGCCCAATGAATAATTAAAATATTAAAAAGTCCTTTTTTATGAGTCAGTTATGTGCTTCAAATTTAAAAGAACCTTAAAGGATAACTCATTTTACTTTTATATTTTTCATAAATCTTCATGATACATAAAACTCAGACATCCAATTTCTAGTATTTCCAGGTTCAATTAAATGTTCTTGCTTAATGTATTGTGGCAAGACACTCCTTGGAGAGACTGTTCTGATCCATTATTAAAGAGGCAAAATTCTCAATGACTATCTTACTTGAAAATATTGCTTCAACATAAGTATATTGGTTATAGAATTCTAGTTGCTCAATGCAGAAAATTTGGAAAATAAAATTTAAAAACAACTTACTTCCCCCTACTCAAGGATTTCTAATACAATAATTATCAAAAAAATACCATTTTTTTCTGTTGGCATTTATAGGTCCAGAAAAAATCTTTTCATAGGGATTTAGATGAAATTTCTGTGCATGTTTGTGACTTAAAAAGAGTAGTATCTAGAAAGATCAAGTACAAGCAAAGCATGTGGAGGTCTCCAAGCTACAACAGCTCATCTAGTGCTAGTCACATAATGACCTGTTGTGTTTACTCCGTTTTTCATATAACAGAGCTCAAACACAGGTGAAAAGCTGCAATCACAATTGGCACAGTCACTGTAAAATATACCATGTGTATTTAAATTCTCAGTGGCACTTGTGAATATAGATAACTTGGATGAAGCACCTTTAAGGTAAATATTTATACATGTTCATTAACCAAGTCCAAACAAGTCATCTTTGTGTTGGGAGTCTCAGCAGATGGAAATTGTTGTGATCTGTGTCAAGTGCACCCTAGAAAGAGACAGAACAGTGAACTGTGCCCTGTATTTTAAAAATACAATATTAAGTCTACTTTGTATTTTACAGGTAAATATATACATCATAGTTTTTAAGTGTCAGTTAAAGTTTGGCTTGGGTTATATGTATTGTGTGTATTTGTTTTAAAATTCTTAAAAAGCTCATTTTTAGCTTGAAAACTTTAATAACTGAAGAACTCACAAACTATACAAAATAGTGGTTCTTATTCCTGACAGTTCATTAAAAGGATTTGAAGAGCATGTAAAAAACATAAACATCCATTCTTACTCCCTCTCTCTTTCCTGCCTGAACAGTTCAGGATATGGTAAGCAAAGTAAGTATCCATGTGGTGTGGGCATAAAGGGTGAGAGAGATGAGTTTTATATCTGGGGATTAATCATGTAGGAATATATATAATGCAAGCCAGTTTTCTGTCAGGACATTGCAGATATGGACAGGAGAAAAACTAGAATGGTTTATAACACCAATAAACACAGAAATTTAGATGCAAATGTATATATGCATCAATTTATATGCAGGCATACCTTGGAGATATTTTAGGTTTGGTTCAAGATAACCACAATTAAGAGAATATCACAATAAAGCAAGTCATGCAAATGTTCTGGTTTCCTAGTCCATATAAAAGTTACGTTCACAATATACTTTCTTTTATTACATGTGCAATATCATTATGTCTAAAAATACAATGTATATACACATATACCTTACCAATATGTGACACAGAGATACAAAGTGAGCAAATGCTATTGAAAGATGGTGTAGATAGACTTGCTCAGTGTAGGGCTACCACAAACCTTCAATTTGTAAAAAGAAACACAGTATCTCTAAAGTGCAATAAAATAAGATATGCCTATACATACATTTGGTGCCTGGCATTGTCTACTGAGAAGATTCAATAGGAGCAACATCCCAATAACAATGAGCACATCTAGTACCAATATCTTGGTTTCTAAATACCATTCTCTACTAAAAGGAAACAGAGCTCCTTGGATAAATAGCTGGTTCCAGGAATAGGATGATGGAAAGTACATGTTGGGTCAGGAGAATTTTTAGTAAGAAAATAATTCAAAGACTGCTGATATGTCAAAAGAACACAGTAGTCAATTTGAAGTGGCAGAAGCCAGCCCAAAGTGGCTTCCATTAACCACATTTGGGACAATTTGTAAATCAAAATAAATAATGATAATAATAAGTATAACCCATTGGGAAAAAACAAAAAATGAAAATTTGATGAAGAATAGGATATTTACATAGTTCCAACTTTCTTCCCCTCACAAATTACCTAGTAATTAGGGGAAGAGAATGAGGAAAACTTTCATATAATCCCTAATTTGAGCAATTAAAGTTAACATCACTATCTATGGTTCAAATAAAATCATGCGTCACCTGATAGAAAGTATAAAATGAACCTAAAAACAAGAAAATACCAGAAAAACACAAAATGAAAGAAGTTTTATAAAATAACTGTCCTGTAATCTTCAAAAGTGGCAAGATAATAAAAGTCAAAAAATGAGAAAAACTATAGACTATAGACTATAGCCCTGGCAGTGTGGCTCAGTGAACTGAGTGCTGGCCTGCAAACCAAAGGGTTGCTGGTTTGATTCCCAGCTGGGGCTCACACCTGGGTTGTGGTCCAGGTCCCTAATAGGGGGCATGCAAGAGGCAACCACACATTGATGTTTCTCTCCCTCTCTTTCTACCTCCCTTCCCCTCTCTCTAAAAATAAAATAAATAAAATCTTTTTTTAAAAAAAGCCCTGGAGACTACAGAAACATGAAAACTAAATGATCCTGTACTCGCTCCTTTTGCCATAAAGGACGTTAGTGGACAAATGGGAAAAGTTGAATAGGGTCCGAAATTTCTATGGTAACAATATATTAACATTAACTTCCTCATTTTGGGGGGGTTATATTTTGGAAATGTGGGAGGTTGAAAAAACACTCACAGTTGTAAAGCAGAAGTTACAAATACACTCTCTGGAAGATTACTCAAGTAGCAGTATAGGAGTATGGTCTTCAAATACTTTTGCTGATATACCCCAATACTAAAAATATTTAAATATGCACCTTTTTATAAGTGTGTACATGTAAAGTTATATACCTGTCCTATAGCATGAACATATTGTTCACATTATAAAACAGACTCAAACATAGAAATTAAAATGGGATAGAACACAGGACTACGTTGATTTAATCAGTCATCTTGTCTATCTCCTGTGATACAAAGTCTTCACATTTGGAGGCCTCTAGTGAAGGGAATGGATAAAAAGGGAGATAAGTCTAGCAGACCTATTTAGATAGCTTATAATAAAATAGAAGGAACTGACAGAATGGGAAAAAAGTGAGGAACTGGATTAAGTTTGTAGGAGTAGAGAAAAGGAGCTAAGAGCAGACTGGAGAAACATTTTACAGAACTCAGGATATGATGTTCCTTATGGAACAAGGATGGGGCAGGCTCGAAGATGATTCCAGGTATTTGGCTTGGGTGAACTGATGGAAGTACAGATGGAACAAACAACAGATGGGTGCAGTGAAGGAGGAAGAATAAAGTACACTGTTTTTCCAGGCATATAGCATTCACTGCCAATAGTGTTTTCACAACATGGGGAAGAGCAAGAAAGACATATTCATGTTGACAGGAAGCAATGAACTAGCTCCACTGAAAATAAACATAGTTCACTGTCTGGGTGGTGATTCAGCTGCTGCCTAAATCAAATGTCTTCAAAGCATAGCCTATGGGAGAAGGTACGTCTTGTGCATATGGGTTCCCATGTGTTGGTATGTGTGCAGATTTAGGTCCCCATGTGTACACATGTAACAGTATATATGCATCCTTGTAGCTGGTCATTTTTCATGAAAACTAAAGTGACTGCTTAGGTTTATGAAGTGCTGATAAGACAGAGAAAGTCTAATCATGCCCTATTCATAGGTTTGGGTAAAATAAAAATTCATTCTATATACAAACACTGAATCATTATGTCATACACATGAAGGTAATATAATGTTATAGTCAATTATATCTCACTTAAAAAAGAGCCATTCTACCTTTAGGTGTATTGTTATTAAATTTATTTTATTACAACTACACTTAGATGTATTTTATCTTTCATGGGCTAAACCTTAAAATTATGTATTTAGATATGATGGGTCTTCCTACACTTTTGTGGAATTTCTGTAAAAGTAATAAGCATAATCAGTGACATAGTGACATAAAGCCCACAGCAAAAAGCCTATTACTTGAAAGACAAAGTCATGTATAAATCCATTATGCTGCTGAGAGAATACATGGCAATATTTTAGAGTTTCCCTCAGTGTGTAAAGTTTGGAGACAGTGTTAACAGGTAAATAATGTTTAAAGTACAACGCATTTTCAAACACATACTAAACTATATACCCTCACCTTGTATTATTTAAATTTTAAGCTAAATAAATTATTTCCTATTTTGGAGTAATATTTTTATATTAAAAGTTAACACTTCTTAGACTTAATAATCCTAACTACCACAGAGAAAGGAAATTAGATATGTATTTTATGGCTACAACAGTTTTATACTCACTTCCCTATAGCTGAAGTTACTGGCAACTAATTCACTTCCTTTCTCTGGCAGTAAATACTTCTGCCTCAACTTTTCTTGCCATTAAAGTACATGAACATAGCAAGAACACCCCGTATTACTACCAAATAACATTCCACTGAAACAAAGACAGACAAAGGACAAATTATATGAACTTGCATTCTGGGTTTTTTTGAGGCCCCAAGATGACACTAATTTTCTAGACTCAGATATTAATAATCTACTGCTTTTCCAATTGAATGGCTTCTGCAGCAACACACTGACTTATAAAGCATGACATTATCTGCCAATGCTTTCTTGTCAGGGCCCCTATGCTAGCAAACATCTTCAAGAGAAAATGTAAACAGAAATACACTACCTGCTGGTCAGGAATGGAAGGCTTCAAAAGTAGGGAAAACAGAGTTGATATAACACAAATATTCAAGAAAATGAATTGTTTCCTTAGCTTTCAGTTTAACTGGTATATTGAACTTAATTTTTCATTGGAAAAAAGTGTAAGTCTATAAAAGTCATGTTGGTATGATAATCATATAGATCCATTTCAGTGCTGTTGTTCTCACAGTAAACTATGACATTCCAAAAATCAGGTAACACCTTTGGATGAAATTTCAAAATGTTGGTTGATTTTAGCTATTCAATCACTGGTCAAACTGAGCAAATACAATGCAAGTTTTCTAACAATGTGCCATTCTAATGGATATCCATTCAGAGTCCAAAGGCCTATTTATTCCCTGGTAGAGAGGAAAAAACAAAAACAAAAAACATCTTACTCTTCTCATGATATACTCCCAAACTACCTGAAATATATTTCCTTGCATTTTCAATACTCATCAATAAAATTACTGCATAACTTAAAGCCACTCTTTCCATTTAATATAATGCTACATATTTATAGTAGTATAGAACCTTTTCAAAAGAATGTATGCAAAAAATCATATATAAGATGCGATAAATCCTTTTTCAAAAATTGCTTTCCTAATTTGCTTGTTGAGGGTAGGAGAAAACCATGAACAAAAAATATACCTAAAATTGTCCTTTATTACGAAAAGTTCCATACAATAACTATTTAAAATCTAGAGTATGCAACTAATTTTTAATTAAAATACAATTTCTAGATAGCATTTTAAAATTATGCAATAAAACCTTTTGATATTAAATATGTTCCCTCTTAAATATGGATCTTAATAAAATAGATGGAAAATAATTGTTGATATTGTATAGTTTAAAACCTTGGGCAAATGATTTATTTACTATGAAATAAAATGAATACCATGTTCTATTTTAATAATCACTGTACAAGTATTTTAATAAATGTGTTATTTTTAAAAACCTTTAAATAGTCCTTTTTCTACATCCAAATGCTCCTCTGAATTTTTTAAATTAAAAAAAAAAAGTTTACAGATGGCCTTTGGTAAGTGGGAGCAAATCATTTTAACTAATGATAAAAAGAATATTTTTGATTCCATGATCATACAGGAATTCAGTACCAATTATAATTTACTCTAGGACTGATAAAGGCATACAAGTAGCATTTTAACAGGATGGCTTCATGTCCATATTGTGATACAGTTAATTTCCATTGTCTATTTAAGGAAGAACAATTCGATTGACACAGTTGACCAGAATGTGTTAGTTTAAATATATTCAATATTTCTGTCAAATGAATCAAAGCATTAGGAGTCTAGCTATTCACTAACATATTTTAATGAAACACAATAATCTCAAACTGTGGATTTCTACCACTTAATGTTATAATAATAATATTCAAAAGATATAACTTCAGTAGTTTATATTTGGAGATAAACTATTAAACAACCTTATTAGAAATTTCACCCTTTCTACTTAGCTAAAGTAAATATCAGAAATAAATTTTAGAATATAAAAACTAGTTTTCTCAAAAAACAGACCTTATAAACATTCAAAATATACTTATTTATTTAAGATGAGTCCTCTACAAAATTTTTGGATTTTATTGGTTATTCTTTTAGTTAACATTCATTCATATATATATATATATATATATGTCTCTTTTTTTGGTCAAAACAAATTTCTGTGACTCAAGTCAGAATTTCCCCGCTAGTCTCTATTTCCTAGGTGTGGTAAGTTAGCAGAGGTTGACTTTACTGTTTGATAAGCTACCGTAATATAGAGAATATCCAAAACAGCTAAAAAAATATTTCATAGAGAAAATTTCTATAATTTAGTAGAACTGTTTATTCCATAACTTAAGGGCAATAAAATACCATGGAATATATTTTTCAGTACATTAGATTAAAGTGTTGTTCCTTCATATTCCAATCCCTTTAAAGTTAGGGAGTTGATGGTAGGTATCAAAACAACACATTTTCTTACAGGCTTTCCCCCTCTTACCTTAGAAGATGAAGAATCACACTCCTGACATATCCACCCATAGCCCGTTTGTTTGGGAGACTTTTTCAGAGGAGGATCCAGACAGCCAAAATGGTAGCACAGCCTGCATTCATCACACCTGCAAGATAAACAGATGTATGATACACTCAAATTATATTTTTAAAACCCTCTTTCAAAGACAAATAGCAAACTATTTGCACATTTCAACTTTAACACTGTTAATTCTACCATTACCTCATGAGATTATTAAATTAATGTTTATGACAAACAACAATCTAAACCTGAAATAATAATGGTAGAAAAAACAAAATATAACAATAAATTTAACAAAAAATATCATTCAGAACACTTTGAAAATAGAAATGTTAACAGTATATGAATAAATGTATACAAATAGCCATATGTGTTTAAAACTAACACAACAATATCAGCCTTGAACCTCAAGAATTAATCATTTGCCCATTAGGTAGCTTAAGGAAAGCAATAGCCAAGATTTGGAAACAGCCTGAGTGCCCATCAGTAGATGAATGGGTAAAAAAGCTATGGTACAATTACACAATGGAATACTACACAGCAGAAAGAAAGAAGCAACTCTTACATTTTGCAACAGCATGGATGAACCTGAAGAATGCCATGCTAAGTGAAATAAGCCATTCAGTGAAAGAAAAAAACCACATGATCTCACTTACATGTGAAATCTAACGCATACAATAAACTAACGAACAAAACAGGAACAGAAGCTTAGATACATAAAACAGACCGACAGCTGCCTGAAGGAGGAAGCAAGTGGGGGAGACAAATAGGATGAAACGTGATGAAGGGATTAACCAAATATTCATGCACAACATAGGAACATGGACAACAATATGAGGATTGGCGAAGGGAGGGTAGACAGTGGGGACAGGTGGGGGTGGAGAAAGGGAGAAAAAGCAGCAACAACTGTACAGCATAAACAATGAGTAAAATTTTAAAAATATGATACACATAATTCAAGATTATAAATTTAATTCAATCCATTGTGATTGTTCTAAAATTTTTAGAGATCTAAAGAACTCTACAGGCTACATACACAAGTAAATAATCAATTCTACACAATTTATATCTAATCACTTTCTTCTGGTTGATATAGATTTAAAAACAAACTTTCTATGTTTATAGCATGCTATTACAATCTATTGCAAATAACGCCATTGTAAGAACTAGATATTATTTTCTCAAATATAAACTTTCTCAAAATTTACCTGTCACTTTTTTCTCAGTGTATCTGGTTTTTCAAAGGACCTCCTAGTACATTTAAAATCTTATTAATAAATGTTTTGATAGTATCTTTGCCACCTATGATATACAAAATCTAAGAAAACTATCATACCTATTCTTCGTTTCAGACAATCTCATCCTGCTGACAATGAAGAAAGATCTGTATTATTTCAGTGTCTTATAAAAAGAATTTATCAGTTGGAATAACAAGACCAAAATTTAACAACAAATAACAAAGATGTATACATCTTATAGAAAGAATTTTATTCCTCCTTTTCTTTGTGCTCTTTTTCAAATTAAAAAATACTTTCTCCAAACCAATTTGTCATATGCTCCTTAAATATTGTTTCTGTTACTGATTTAAAACTTTAAAATGGAGAAATCCACAACTAAGCAACCAAGGGGAAAAACTACAGGACTCATATTACTTGAATATATACTAATTCCTATTTAATAACCTTTATGAGAAAAAAAAGGAGAAGCAGCTATTATAAACACACAAAAACAACTGATTTTTAAGCAACATCACACTAAAGGGGACTATAAATATACGTGCACACTAAAAATGTCATGCAGTGCTATAAAACCCAATCTCCCAAAGACCTATTTTAGGAATCAAAGATTTTTTTCAGAAAAGTTAGCAACTTAGCTAAGTTATTCAAGTATAAAGAAGCTTAAAACACAATTATATGTCATAAGTTTACTCATTTCTTCCTCTACATCTTTCTCCTTATGAATCAAATAATCTTATGTACTTTTCCAAAAATCTTCTTTCAGACTCAAGATACAGAATTGGAAAATAAATGTTTACTATGATAATTCTAGCCATGGAAAAAATAAAATCAAATAAGAATAACAGTACTTTATTTACTATATTAGTGTTATAAATGAACTCTCCAAAATTATATTTAAAAGCAGTCAACATTTAAATATCTGTGTTCTAACATAACAGATTAGCCAAAGATCATATATGCATAATCCACAGACACAGACCACAGTGTGGCGATGGCCAGAGGGAGGGGGTGGCAAAAGCTGGGAGGAGGTGGGTGGAGGTGGGCAAAGGAAACATCTGTAATAGAGTCAATGTATCCGAAGGAACCCAAAACACTAAATCGAAAGAACAGGAGCACCTCTATGTCCACTGCAGAATTATTTATAATCACCAAGATATGGAAGAAGCCCAAGTGTCCATCAATAGATGAGTAGATAAAACTTTGGGACATTTACACATTGGAATTCTGCTTGGCCGTAAAAAAGAAGAAAATTTTATCCTTTGCAACAGCATGGATGGACCTGGAGAACATTATGCTAAGTGACATAAGCCAGTCAGAGAAAGACAAACACCATATGATTTCACTCATATGTGAAATCTAATGAGCAAACTGAACTAACAAGAAAAACAGACTTATGAATGGAGAACAGATAACAGCTAGAGGAGTGGGGAGGTTAGGGAGTGGAGGACTGAGCAAAAAGAAAAAAGGACTCACGGACATGGACAACGGTGTGGTGATTGTGAGGGCAAGGGAGTGTAAGGGGACTAAACGGTAATGGAAAAAATACAATAAACAAATAAAAAATCAGAAAAAATAAAAATAGACAAAAAGAAACAATAGATAATATATAGCTAACATCAAGTGTCATCTAGACTAAATGGCAAGCCCACACAATTTTATGTTCTTTCTTAATTTATTTACCTTTCAATAGTTAAAATTTTAATTCCATTAAATAAATACATGGATGGTTATAGGAACCTTCAAAGTATAAACATTTCTGGATTTATGAGAACGTTGAAATTTCTGGACAGTTGAAGGCATATTCCTTCAAGCATGAAAACTAGTGTTTCAATCATCTTTGAAAGGGAGATTTGAAAATCACATTCTTTATTAGGAAAATATATAACACGTAATCACACCATCTTTGAGTGTAATGAGTCATGAGAATGAGTATGAGACGTGCTGTGTGGCTATCAGCGTGCTCGTCTGTGGTGTGTGCAGTGAGTGCCACCACTCTGCTGCTGGGTTTGAATTCTTACACTGAACTTTTACCAGTTTTCAGAGTCCTCACTTGCTTGAACAGGGTTGGCCACTGCTTTCTGACCTTGTCAGGGGATTTGTCTAAGCGTTTCCCCAACAACAATTCATGATGGATTCAGAAACCAGATTACTGACCTTATGGTAAATTGATCAGTATGGCAAATTGACAATACAAAGGCATGAAAATGAGAACTTCTGCTAAGTACATGAACTCAATTTTCAGTAACTATAGTCTTTTCTGTTCAACTTCAGGGATTCTGGCAATGTTCCTTACATCTCACAATGCCAATAATCTGGGCTTTTGATAGGTGAAGAGTTATGGTATTAATGTCTCCCTAGTTCATGTCAAATTACAATATATTTACTGCACATTCACTTTATAACTGTACAATAATAATTTGCAAATTAAGATTTATAGTATATAATTCAAGTCAAATACCATAATAATATAAAGGTGAATTTTAATTCATTATTTTTCACCTTCTACATAGGTGATTCTTGTTAGGATATCTATGGATTTCCAGCTATTAGACTAAGAACAAGTTTGTAACATTGATATATTCCCAGTTTGTAGATGATTTCAATTAACCATAAAATCGAGTTATCTTTCAGCTCAAGAATAAATACAAAAGGGAAAAGAAAGGTTTCATATGTTAGATTTGTTCGAAGATGATGTTGAAGTACATGCCACTTAGCAATGGCCCAGTCCTTACTGATCCCTTCAGTTGTGGTACATGTGGGAATGGCTCAGTTTGTGTGTGGAACTCTACTGAACTTGTGATGGCTTCCAGAAGAAAGGAGGCCTGCTGGTCAGAACTATGGGTGATATGGGAGCTCTCTCGACTCAGAGCTCACTTACCAGGAAACCCAAGACTGCAATTCCAAGACTAAATAGCAAAGTGGAATACCTGATAAACTTAAGAACTGCCAAAATCCAGGAGAGAAAAACAAAAGAAATATCTTGATCTTGAAATCATTAGCTCTATTAATAAACAAATAAACTAATAAAAGCTCTTTAAAGAAAATGACTAGAATTATTTCCACCTGGAAAAAATATTTGCTTGTTTCTACACTAGAACATTGAACTGAAGACATATTTATGTGCTGGTAACAAAAAGATCCTGAATGACACAGTGAACTTGAAAAGAATTTGCAAAAATTAATATAGCATAGATAAACATATGAGATACCATAAAGAATACTAGAAATGGAAGAATTTAGCAAATTCTGTCAGAACAAATTCTGGATATGTTACAAACTTATATCATTTTAAAAACACAAAAATCAGCAACTCATAAGATCTGTAATCATTCTGCTACCTAAAAAAATTGATTTTGAAATAGTTAATGACCAAATTATTATTGTTGGTCTCTACCTCTACTTTTTCCATTTACTTGGAAACACAATGATAGTACATATTTAATTTATCAAAATAAACAGTGAATAAAATGTTTTTAAAATCTTCTGCAAAAGAAGCCATTGACCCACAAAAGCACAGTGACACAACACAATATACTTTATTAAATAATGCAAATGTCTATGTCATAAAAACAGACTATTATAACATACCAGTAGTACATATGTTAAGTAGGAAGGAAAGGTCTTAAAATATTGAAAGAATATAAAACTAACCTGTAAAGAAACACTATGAAATTTTTAATCAAATGCAAACTGGATGCTTAAAGAAGTATTTTTTAAACAGCTAATAAATACTGTCCACATTAACACTATAGGGCACGCTAAAATTACAATTTAAATGAAATCCTACGCATCAGATTAATAATAGGTACAGATGTAAATAATGAAGTAGCTGTGTAAACTCTTTTAC